GAGCAGGGAGCCCGATGCGGGGCTCGATCCCGGGACCCTGGGATCATGACCCGAGCCGAAGGCAGCCGCTTAACAACGACTGAGTCACCCAGGCGCCCCAGTCCTGACATTTCTAGTCCACTTAGCTTGATGCTTTCTCCGAGCCGTTGAAATAGTAGTGAAACTTCGGGAGTACAAGGATCAAAAGAAAAAAAAAAAATCCTGAAAAAGTTAAGAAAAAAAACAGATTAAATTTGTAAGAATACGGATCAACGTGGTATCTCATTTCTCATTCAGTCGAATGCAGAATATCAGAGCAGTTTTTCCTTTGATGTCTACAGTCCCCAGAACAGGGCCAGGCACATAGTAAATGCTCGGTAAACACTTCTTACGTGACTGATTGCAGTAGTTTCTTTAAAAACTGTCTTAAACCTAGGTCTGTATCACCGCCCAGTTAACCCTCAGTATCCTGTGGTCCCGATGAATCTTTTCTTGTTAAAGCAAAGTGATACATTAAGCTTTTCAAAAGCAGGAAATAGGGGCGTGGGGCTGGCTCAGTCTGTGGAGCGTGTAGACTCCTGATCTCGGGGATCCTGAGCTCGGGCCCCACGTTGGGTGTAGAGATTACTTAAATAAGTGAATAAAAACTTTAAAAAACAATACTGTTGTAATAACTCTGTGTGGTGATGCATGGTGATTATACTCACCGTAGTGAGCATTTCACAGTGTATACAGTTGTTGAATCACCATGTCGAACACCTGAAGCTAATATGTCAACTATACTTCAATTAAAAAAAAAGAGGGGTGCCTGGCTGGCTCAGTTGGAAGAGCATGCATCTCTTGATTTTGGGGTTGTGAGTTCAAGCCCCATGTTGGATGTAGAGATTACTTTTTTTTTTTTGTACAATCTTGAGGTCTTTTCTTTTTAAAGATTTTATTTATTTGACAGAGAGAGACACAGCGAGAGAGGGAACACGAGCAGGGGGAGTGGGAGAGGGTGAAGTAGGCCTCCCGCAGAGCAGGGAGCCCGATGTGGGGCTCGATCCCAGGACCCTGGGATCATGATCTGAGACGAAGGCAGACGCTTAACTGACTGAGCCACCCAGGCGCCCCTCCCCCCCCTTTTTTACATGTATCATGCCATGAATTCATAGGGAATGGGTTCCAACAACTCAGGCTCCTTTCCATCAGTTCTCACTAAGTGTGTTTCTCTGGGTGGGGCAGGCTGGCGCTTCATTGAACCCAAGTACCTTTCTCCTTGGCTTCCTTCTTTTTCTGATCATTTTCCTTCATGCCTGCAGGAAACTATCTCGGCTCTTTGAGGGCTTAATATGCTCAATACTTACATTAATTTTCCTGGCAAGAATCTTGCCCTTAACTTGTTTGTTTTTAAGAATGCCAGCAGCATGCTGGGTAACATTGTAGATTTCCAGTTTTGCCACGGTAACATTTGGGCGGCTTCTTTTTTGAACAGTGCCCATTCTCTCTTTTTTTTTTTTTTT